CAAATGCACACTTCCCCCCCCTCCAAGGTGTCTTCTCTTTCTGAAATAAGTGACTGCTTTTAAACTACAGTACCTTTGGCTTGCGCCTTCCCCCGCACTCCCGTCTTCATTCATAAAAATTGTAATATCTTCCCCCCCCTCCCCAGCCAAACAGCCAAGAATTTTTTTTTTAAACATGTCATGATTTCCAAGCAAAGCATCTCCGTACAAACCTAACTTTATCTTGTCTTTTCTAGGTCATTAAAAACAAAATGTAAACAAACAAACAATATATGTAAGAAAATAATAAAAAAATACATTAAAAACAGAGGTACAAACCTTTATTGGTGACCTCCCAGGCCACTTCGAACAGCAGCAGATCCTCCACGGGGAGATCTTCATCATCCCACTGGGGGAGCCCATTGAGGGAGGTGATGGAAAGGGATCGCACCAGCGGCATGAGGGATCCTCGCGTCTCTGGCGGTTTTTATTTTTTGGGCTGAAGTTTAGAAGGGGCTTATTTTCACGGCTGCTCTCGCTTTTTTGCAGTAGAGAAGGGCCGGCGGGGGGTGTGGGGAAGAGAGAGAACGTCCCAGAGAAAAGTCTGTCCGTTTGCAAAGAAAATAAAAATAAAGCGCCAGGGGATGATGATTTCACAAGGAAGCCCACCCGCGTCTCCCTCCTCGGCCGGCTGGACCAGTCTTGGCTTCACTGGTTACTGCTTGGGGAGGGGCGATGTGGTGCAGTTGGCCTTTCTCTCTCAGAATCCCTGGCAGCATAAGAGATCCAGCAGTTTCTGGGCACCTTGAAACAACAAGGAGTCCCTTGTTGGTGGAAGCTTTTTTTTTGGGGGGGGGGGAAACTGCATCTTATGTAGGGAACAATACAGTCCCTTACAAAATTGTATGGTAATTCCCTATAAATACATGGCAAAATGTCCCTTTCTGGAGGATTGTCACTTCATGACTTCCTTTAAAGCAAGCCTGTTGCGTGTGTGTGTGTGTTCTTTTTTTGTTTTTACTCTTTAAAGAAAACCTGTCTTCTGACTGACTTGTCTTGTGACCTTTCATTGTCCTCCAAACATTTCCATTCCCAGCCATGAATCTTCAACCATGTGTCTACTTTATATCATCATTTGGTAACCCTGTTCCACACATGCTCAGTTTATAAGGAAGTCACTGCTTTAGATTTTGAAAGGCAGTTTTTGAGATTCAATATTTTAGCCTATGCAGCCTGGATTCTTTCCAAATTAAAATGAAAAAGAGCCTGACAATTCCTTTTTGTTTGGGTGAGAAGTGGTTAACTGGTGGGAAAAAGAAATCAGCTTCTGATATTTTCTTACTTTATTTATTTATTTATTTATTTATTTATTTATTTATTTATTTATTTATTTATACTTGCTGCCATTGGTGCTGCAAGTATTCAGGCTGCCCTTTCTTATGTCAAGCTTGGCAACTTTTTTCCTGCTGGCAGCATGAGCACAATATTGAGCCATTTGCTGGCATTTTAAAGCATGGATAAAGAAGCGTGTAAGCTGGAGGGTTGTTTTTCTTTCCAAAGCATTGATAACAGCGACAACAGCGACAACAGCAACAACAGCGACAACAACAACAACAACAACAACAACAACAACAACAACAACAACAACAACAACAACAACAACAACAACAACATACTGTTAGATCTATTCTAACTGATGGCAACGCTTGTTAGGGTATCCTAGATATAAAGTCATCTGGAGTAATTTACCACTCACTTATTTTGATGGCACTCTGGAGGTGCAACTGGGCTCCACACACACCACACACACACACACCTTTTAGATCATGGAAACAGAACAGATGATCAAAACACACACAGACACACACACCCCTTTTAGATCATGGACACTAAACAAATGAGCAAAACACACACACACACACACCCCTTTTAGATCATGGACACTCAACAGAAGAGCAAAACCAGTTTACAGAGATTGGGGGCCAGCCAAGGGCCAACAGGTATTCCTTGGTCTAAGAGGGATGGTGGAGGGCAGGAGATGCCGGTTGATTTCCCCGATAAAACTTTAAGGGCCCCCATTCTTCAGAGATATATTTGTGCGCTCCATAATCCGTGTCCTTTCAAAGGGTTTGGTTTTATTGCTGTTTGCTTTTTTCCCTTCCTGTACAGAGCAACAATGTATGCATGTGTTGCTGTCCAACTCCAATCCCAGGCTTACACGTAAATTTGCCAAATTTCTTACTGCTGCAAGGGGCATTAGAAAAAAGGAACCTAAACGTGGATGAGCCTCCTCTGTAGTTAAGAGCATGGTTTGCTGGACATTTTGGAATTGCTTTAGGGGAGATGTTTTGATGCTGTTGTTGTCCACCTCAGAACCGATTATTGCTTTGCATTCGGCCCCAAAATTTTGGTATACACTTCTGTATATTTATATATTTTGATGTTTTATTTGTGGCTGGTCTTTTGACCATAATAAAGCTCTATCTATCTATCTATCTATCTCTCTATCTATCTATCTATCTATCTCTCTATCTATCTATCTATCTATCTCTCTATCTATCTATCTATCTATCTCTCTATCTATCTATCTATCTATCTCTCTATCTATCTATCTATCTATCTAATAATTTTGTACCATGGCCTCCATGCACGGATTCACCCAGGAGGAGATCTATTATGAAACTAAAGAAGCTTAATCTTCAAAGATCTTTATCCTGGAGGGGCCCCCAGAAGCAATTTTGGCGCACCTTTTAAAATTTAACTCCACCATTTTCCAAAAAAACACACATTGTGGTGTTCTGTCCTGGAACAACCCCATTGAAGAGGACCACAGTGGCGACCTAGACCTCATTGTTGGTTGCAAAGGGGCTCCCATAACCGTTCCAGCTTCAGCCCCCCCCCCAAATGTAGGTCCACCATTGCATTCACGAGTAGCAAACGGGCTCGAATTTATGAAGATGTCTCTTACTCAAAGGAAAACACGTACAAGGTTTATTTTAAAATTGCATCTGGCCGTACATGTACGAGGACCATTGACTGAGCACAGAAAAAAAATTGATCCAGGCCAGTGAGGGATAAAACTAACATTAAGATTAAAGTGAATGTGATTACTGAACAGATGGAAAGAATTGGTTCTCTTAAATTGTCTGGGTTGAGGAAATCTAAATGGAAAGGGGTCCCCCTAGTGGACTATAAATTTTAAAAAAAGATTATGATTGACAATAAAATAAATAAAATAATATACTTGTTTTGTTAAAAGCATGAATGGGCATTCTCTAAAGGTTCAGGTGCTACACAAAGGCAGTCCCTGAACTTTGGGGATGCAAAGCCATTGCTGTAATCTCCATTCATAATTTTTTTTCTTACAACCTATCAAGCCCTAAATGGCTTGGGTCCAAGTTATCTCAAGGGCCTTTATGAGCCTGCCTGGGTATTAAGATCATCAGGGGAGGCCTTTCTCTCAGTCCCACCACCTTCACAGGTGTGTCCAGTGGGGACACGGGAGAGGGCCTTCTCTGTGGCTACTCTGAGCCTTTGGAACTCCCTCCCACTGGAGGCCAGCTTGGCCCCATATTTCTGGTCCTTTCACAAGCAGGCCAAGACCTTTCTCTTAGGCAAGTGTTCCTCCAGTAACTGGCTGTTTGCTTAGGGAGCTTTTTCAAATTGGATTGTTGCGCCTCCCTGCTTTCAATGTGGTTTTGCTGTTGCCTTTGTTTACTGTTTTTTAGTGCTGAACTTGCTTGAGCCTTTTTTAGTAGTTGTATACCTGTTGTTTTTAGCTTTAAATATTGTCTTTTAATGATGTGAGCAGCCTCAGGTCCTTCTTAAGGAGAAAAGCAGGGCAAAAACATTTGAAATAAAAATAATACATATAAATTAAAATAAAATTGAAAAGAAGCCCTCCAGTGGCTAGATTTAAAAAACAAATTTTAAAAGGTGTGTGAGCTCTCCAAAAGGGGTGCTAGAGGGACCCCAGGACATGGCAGAATTGCCCCCCCCATGCTCCCGAGATGATACAGATGAGCTTTTCAAACTTTTTCTTCAAATAATACTACCATTTTTAATTTGGGGCACTTGGAGGTGCTGAGGGCCTCCTTTGGGGGGCTGCTGACTACCTATGGGGTAGATATTGCCCTTCCTCCTGTTTAAAAGAAGCTCTTTAAAGCCCCCCACACACCTCTACCCATTCTCAGCAGGTCATAGGACTTACTAACCCAGTGCAAAGGCAGTTGCATGTGTGTTGTGTTTGTTTGCCTTTCACTCTTTGTCTCCCCTGACCCTGACATCACAGTCGCTGACCCTATAGTTTCAGATTTTGGCCCTAAAATTGCTGGAAATAGTACCCTGTTGCTCTAGCAGTCCTACTAGAGGGGGAACCAGGTGAACTGTGCATCTGTGTCCATTTGTACCACTTATCATAAGGCAGGGTGTGGAGCTTTAGCATTGCAACTCATGATCCTTCTTTGTGCATAGGTCCTGGCAGGAATAGTGAGGGAGGAAATCTCCCTGGGGGCTGGTGATGAGCCCTCCACAAGCCATAGTAGTACATAGTGTCAGGTCAGGAAGATGTCCCCATGTGTCATGTGTGCTGTAGATAAGACCATAGCCAATCACGACTAGCAGGAATGCTAGGAGCTGCTCCTACCGCTGGGTGTGTTTTGCAGTCTACTTTCATGCCAAAAATTTGTGTTTTTTTCCAATGGCATTGGGTTGATATTAAAGATGGGCATGAATAACAGCAGGTTGCACTCAGAGGCGGCATTCCAGCTTTCCTGCCTCGTGTCCTCTGGGCGCTACTTCTGAGTTGGCGCGTTCCAAACAACTGTCGCGGTGCTTAATGAACCGGGACAAGCCACCTTAGCTGCTTTTTAACCAGCTAAGATACCATCTAGAGATGGGTGATTGATGTTACCTTAGCTGGTTAAAAAGCAACACTTATAGACCATCTCATAGCGCTTAAAACACTCTCTAGTTGGTTGACAATGGAGCCTACACATTGCCTCTCCAAGCAAACTGGGTATTCCATTTACTAACCTTGAAAGGATGGAAGGCTGAGCGAACCTTGAGCTGGCTATCTGGGATTGAACTCTGGTCATGAGCAGAGTTTTGACTGCAGTAATGCAGTTAAACTGCTGCGTCACACTGCTCCTCAAAGGTTAGCAATGGTTTCCCCAGCTTCTAGGCCTATTTAACCAGGTTCCCGTCATGCTTTCTTCTACAACAAGCTGTTCCAGAAGCAGTTCCAGGCTCCCTCCTCTTGACTTTGGCCACCCCATTGACGTCACAAGGACCCAGCCATTGATCTCAACTTTTGGCCTGGAAATCTCAAGGAATGGTATCCTGCTGATTTTCAACCCTAATGATGAAGAGCATCTCATGATCAGTCCTGAAGTCTGAGTCAACCACCAGCGTGGTTCAGTTCTGCAGGGGCATCTCAGAACTCAAACAAAGGGCAGGAGTTCGGGAGGTACACCTGTTGCAGTCATAAACCCTGTAACAAGTGTGGGGGGTTATCTGTATTCATAAATAATCATGCGCTGTCAAGTCAATTCTAAGTTTTACCCTTTTCAAGGTAGTGAGTAGTTAGAAGTGGTTTTCCATTCCCTTCTTCTGGGGGTGCCATGGAACTCTGCAGCTTGCCCAAGGCTATGCAGGCTGGCTCTTCTCCCAGGAGTCGTGGGGGGGGGAATTGAA